GCTGTTCTTTTCAAAGCAGTAAGCACGGCTGAAGAGGAAATCCAAAATCTTGGCTAAGGTCCAAACTGAGGCACCAACTAACTGTGAAAGTCAGGTAAGTCCCTTCATTCCTTTGGGCTTCCATTTATGCTAATTTCTGGAATAATTATACTATCACTTACTCCATGCATGTTAAATAGTTTTTAGTCCTGTTTATCCTTTAAAAAGGTTATCTCCTTATAAAGCACTGGAATAAACATTTTGTTTGATGATATGGATATTTAGCAACTAAAGTGATTAAAGGTTTTTGTGAGCTTTTCACACATATATATTTGGAACATAATAACAATTAATGTTTGTTGAATAAATGAATAAGCAAATGAATCCATCCATCCATCCATCTCCCAGATTAAAAAAGGCTAAGGTTTACTTAGACTACATTAGGCAAGGAATTGTTATAAGGAATAAACTATTTTATCTAATGCCATGACATATGCAAGAGTGAAAGAAAACATGGCAGTTTAATTTGCCCTGGCTAGGTGATTCAGTTGGTTGGAGCTTCGTCCCCTGCACCAAAAGGTTACAGGATTGATTCCGGATCAGGGCACATGCCCAAGTTGCAGGTTCAATACCTGGTTGGGGCATATAAAGGCATATCAATAAAGGCATATCCTTGAGTAAGGATTATTAAAAATAAAATAAAAAGAGCCCTAGCTGGTTTGGCTCAGTGGATAGAGCATCAGCCTGCAGACTGAAGGGTCCCGAGTTCAATTCTGGTCAAGGGCACATGACCGAGTTGCAGGCTCAATCCCCAGTAGGGGGCATGCAGGAGGCAGCTGATCAATGATTCTCTCTCATCATTGATGTTTCTATCTCTCCCTCTCCCTTCTTCTCTGAAATCAATAAAATACACACACACACACACACACACACACACTGAGTGGCCATATTATTATGACCACCTGACATTTGTAGGCAAATTAGCTATAATTTCGCGCTGAAGTTGCTAGAGGGCCAGACCATTATAAATAGGGAAGCAGGTTGTTTACCACAACAGTATAAGTGATTTTTTCCTGAAAATATGGGAAAACAACATGATTTAACAGCCTTTGAACATGGCATATATTTGAATGTGAGTGGCCAGATTATGACCACCTGACGTTCTTAGGCAAATTAGCCGTACACCGCATCGTATGGGATATGGAAGCTGACGGCCTGTTCGAACACCTTTGCTGTCTGCAGTTACCAAGATAAAATGTCTCCAATTCGCACAGGAACACAAGGATTGGACAGTCGAGCACTGGAAAAAAGTCATGTGGTTCGATGAATCACGTTTCCAGTTGCATCATGAAGATGGCGGAAACAGCATGAAAGCATGCACCCCACATGCATGAGTACAACCCTTCAAGCTGGTGGGGGCAGTGTTATGGTTTGGGGCATGTTTTCCTGGCATGATTTGGGCCCTTTAATCCGTGTGGAACAACGTCTGAATAGCACAACATACCTGAGTATCGTTGCTGATCAAGTTCATCCTATCATGTTGATGGTGTATCCCAATGGAGATGGCTTCTTCCAACAAGGCAATGAGCCATGCCATGGTGCCCGTATTGCGCAGGAGTGGTTTCAAGAACATGAGGGGGACTTTACCTTGCTTAGGTAGCCCCCACAATTACCAGATCTCAATGCAATTGAGCATTTGTGTGATGAAGTTAAAAGAGCCATCAGGCAGCTGGTTCCACAACCATCAAATCTCACAGAACTGGATAGTGCTATTCATCAGGCATGGTGTCAGATTCCTCACATCACCTTTCAACATCTCGTGGAGTCAATGCCAAGAAGAATCGCCTCAGTATTGAAGGCAAAAAAGGTGGCCCAACGAAGTACTGATGGGGTGGTCATAATAATCTGGCCACTCACGTTCAAATATATCCCACGTTCAAAGGCTGTCAAATTGCATTGTTTACCTATATTTTCAGAAAAAAATCACTTCTACTGTTGTGGTAAACAACCTGCTCTCCTATTTATAATGGTCTGGCCGTCTAGCAACTTCAGTGCAAAATTATAGCTAATTTTCCTACAAACGTCAGGTGGTCATAATAATCTGGTCAGTCTGTATATATAAAAAGAAAACATGGCTAGGTATCAAGAAATGTGAGTTCTAGTCCCAGCTCTGTCATTAAATTTCTATTGATACTTAACTTGCACGGTTCCAGTTCCCCCATCTATGAAAATGCAGATATTAAAATCTTCCTTCCAGAGTTGAGGACAAATAAAACAAATATGGGAGAGAGAGAACTTAAAAAGAAATCAAAGTACTTTATAAATAAAAGATAATAGCTTCTGATTTCATGCGCATAAAGGAGCTGGATTTTGTGGTGTAAAGAAAAAATTGTGAGGCCCTGGCCGGGTAGCTCAGTTGGTTGGAGCATCGTCCCAATATGTCAAGGTTGTGGGTTCGATCCCCAGTGAGGACACATACAAGAATCAACCAACAAATGCATAAATAAGTGAAACAACAAATCCATGTTTCTCTCTCTCTCTATTTCTCCCCCTTTCCTCTCTCTCTAAAATGAATCAGTAAATAAAAATTTTAAGGAAATTGTGAGAAGAAAAGAAAACTCTCAGGGAACCAGATCTTCTGCTTGGGGCTGAGGATCAAGCACCTAAGGGTGGCAGAGATGCTCCCAGTGACACCTAAGCAACCACTCATCGACCTTGACCATGCTTGCTTGCTGTTCTGTCTTCTAAAAGTATACAACTTAGTGGTTTTTAGTATTTTATAGAGTTGTACAATCATCACCTCTTTTGAATTTCAGAACATTTTTATCACCTTAAAAAGGAATTCTATACCCACCAGCAGTCACTCTCTATTTTTCCCCTCTTTCCTCAGCCCTGGGAAACCATTAGCCTACTATTTCCATTAGTTTGTCTATTCTACACCTTTCATATAAATGGAATCATAGGATATGATGCCTTTTGTGACTGGCTTCTTTTTACCATAAAAAGTTCATTACAACAGAGTTTTCACCCAAAAAGTATCCTCCGAAGAGATGTTATTTCTTTAGAAACCTTATAAAGACTTTCATAAGAAGAGAAAAATCTCTCGATTATTTTGAAAAAGAGTGGTATAGGCCAGTGTCGGCAAACTCATTAGTCAACAGAGCCAAATATCAACAGTACAACGATTAAAATTTCTTTTGAGAGCCAAATTTTTTAAACTTAAACTATATTGGTAGGTACATTGTTATCAACTTAATTAGGGTACTCCTAAGCTGGCCTTTGCTAAAAACGTCCTCAATCTGATTGAGGTACATTCGCTGAGGTCGACCCCTTCCAACTCTCCGATCCACACTCGTCTTGTATACTTGTTTCAGATAGACAAGTGTGGATGGGAGAGTTGGAAGGGGTCGACCTCAGCGAATGTACCTCAAAACAATGTACCTCCCCCGCGCTGCGTATCCCGTCGCCCGACCGACCGACACCCCCCCACTTCTTCTAACACCACTTCTTCAAAATAGACTCGCCCAGGCCGAAAACCGAATTCTGCACATGGGCCAAGTAGTTTCAATCGCACTGTACGTGTGTGCCCGCACGTGGTATTTTGTGGAAGAGCCACACTCCAGGGCCAAAGAGCTGCATGTGGCTTGCGAGCCGCGGTTTGCTGACCACTGGTATAGGCCAACATTTTAGAAACACCGACGAAAGCTAATCCTATATAATAAAAGCCTAATATGCTAAGTGTCCGATCGTCCAGTTGGCCATTCAACCAATCAAAGCATAATATGTTATGATATGCTAAGGTCTCTCAACTGCTCGCTATGATGTGCACTGACCACCAGGGGGCAGACAGTCAACTGATTGACCAGTCACTATGATGTACACTGACCACTAGGGGGCAGACGCTCCAACTGGTAGGTTAGCTTGCTGCTGGGGTCTGGCTGATCAGGACTGAGTGAGATAGGCCAGACACGCACTGGAGCTCTTGCAGGGAGTGGCCGGCCTGCAAACCACTGGCGGCCCCTTTCCTAGGGCGGCCCCATCCCAGTGGTGACCGTCCCCCTGATCAGGGGTCCCCACCTGTGCACCAGGCCTCTATCCTATATAATAGAAGGGTAATATGCAAATTGACCCTAATAGCAGAATGACCAGAACAACTGCTGGAGCAGTCACTATGAGGTGCACTGACCACCTCTTGGTACTTTTCCCCGGCCAGCAGGCTCCGATCGCCTGATGGCCACCTGCAGGGGCAGGGCTGGCAAGCGGGCAGGAACAGCCAACCTCTCGGTCCCTTCCCCCAGCCGTCAGGCACCAATCACCTGATAGCGAATGGGGAACCGGGGGTGGGTGGCAGCGGGGGGCGGGGCTGACTGCAGGCTCCTGGGGAAAAAGGCCCTGATTGCAGGCCAGGCCTAGGGACTGTACCCATGCACGAATTTCGTGCACCAGGCCTCTAGTATATTATATAAAAATTGAGGTGATTTTATTGAGTAAAGACTTGTTCAGGTACATAGGAATCTTAAGGGTAGGTGCCAACTTCCATTTTACTGATGAATGGGGCTCAAAGAGTCTAATGACTTACCCATCATGATATGGCAGGAAGGCTACTGTGCTAACTGCTTCTCCTGAGTTATTTCTTTGTCCTTCCATCAACCCTATTCATGTCCCCACTTTACAGCTGAGGTATAGAGAGATAAATAACTTGCTCAAAGTCATATAGCTAAAACATGGTATAGCTAGGATTACACTCAGGTCTCTCTAGCTTTAGAGTCAGAGACTCTTAACCATTTTGCTAAATAAGTCTTTAGCTCCTCATCAGAGCCCTTTTCCTGGAATCAAATGATTTAAAAAAACATTTTCCAGGTTTGAAATTCTAAAGTAATTTATTTGAAACAGAAAACAAAAACCATTAGAAGTTAGCAAAAACATTAAGAAAAGAATGGAAAGAGAACAGGTCTAAAATTATTTTAAAGTTTACAGATCTATCTATGAAAAGGAGTAAGTTATTCAAATTCCAATATTACCTGGTTAAGTCTCTCAGGCGAGTCACCTCGGCATCACGCTGACGTAATGTTATTCCCAATATCTGATTTTCCCTTTCAGCAGCTTCTAACTTAAACTGGCAGTTTTTCACATCGACTAAGGCTTCCTCCAATTCTAAAACAACAAATAAGTTTCAGTTTCCTTATTCCTTTTTTAAAATGTGACCATAACTACAGCTCAAATACATACCAATTTTTATTCTGGTTGTCTCAATGTCAAATTGCTGTTTATTTTCAAGTATAGTTTCATCTTTTTCTTTAAATATACCAGCAAATCTTTTGTTTTCATCTTTCTGATTTTCAATCACTTTTAAAAGCTCTTCATTTTTACTCTGTAGTAATTCCTGGCTCTTTAGTGATTCCTGTAATTGATTTTGAAGTAACTTATTCAATGATTGAAGGGAAAACACTGTAAGACAAAACAGATCAAAAAATTGTTTCCCCAATTTAAAAAGCACAAACTTGGCCTGGTGGGTGTGGCTTGATTCAGTCATTGAGCATTGACCTCTGAACCAAGTGGTCACAGTTTGATTCCCGATCAGGGCACATGCCAAAGTTGCAGGCTCTATCCATAGAGGGGGGCGTGCAGGAGGGAGCTGATCAATGATTCTCTCTCATCATTGACAGTTCTTTCTTTTTAAAAAATTTATTTTATTGATTTTTTTACAGAGAGGAAGGAAGAGGGATAGAGAGTTAGAAACATCGATGAGAGAGAAACATGGATCAGCTGTCTCCTGCACACCCCCTACTGGGGATGTGCCTACAACCAAGGTACATGCCCCCGACCAGAATCGAACCTGAGACCCTTCAGTCCACAGGCCAATGCTCTATCCACTGAGCCAAACCGGTCAGTGCATCATTGACATTTCTCTTTCTCTCTCCCTCTCTCTTCCTCTCTGAAATCAATAAAATATATATACTTTAAATATAAAAAGTATAAACCTGGAAAAGAGTTGCATTTAAAAAAGAAAAGGATTAGAATATACTGATTTTACTTAAAAATTACATGCTTGGGCAGTTCTGTGTTAATACTAAATTTTCTTGTTTTTTTTTAATTGTTTGGTAGAAGTCATGCCTTTCCTTTCAAATAGATATATTGGGCATTAAAACATTTTTTTTTTAACACTCACTCAAGCACATGTTTAGAGAGAGGAAGGGAGAGAGAGAGAGAAACATCAATTGAGAGAGAAACATCCACCGGCTGCCTTCCATATGCTCCTCAAATGGGGATCAAACCTGCAACCCAGGTATGTGCCCTGACCAGGAATTGAACCAGCAACCTTTCAGTGCATGGGACAATGCTCAACCAACTGAGCCACTCCAGGTGGGCCTTTTTATTTTTATTTTATTTTATTATTTTTTAAAAATATATTTTATTGATTTTTTACAGAGAGGAAGGGAGAGAGATAGAGAGTTAGAAACATCAATGAGAGAGAAACACCGATCAGCTGCCTCCTGCACATCTCCCACTGGGGATGTGCCCGCAACCCAGGTACATGCCCTTAACCAGAATCGAACCTGGGACCTTTCAGTCCGCAGGCCGACACTCTATCCACTGAACCAAACCGATTTCAGCTAGGGTGGGCCTTTTTAAAAGCTTTCTTAATGAAAGAATCACACACAAATTTTAAAAAAATTCACACACCACGTATTACCAATGATAATCATAATTCTCAATGAAGAGTCTTCCTCCCGCCCTACCCTTACTCCCCTGAAGAGGCAATCACTATTAACTTTGGTATCTTTCTAGAAAATGCTTTTGCATAAAATAAATATAGGGTGTTCCCAAAATATGTATATGCACTTTAACAGCTTATAAATCAATTGATGTTTCTTCTCAGCCAGAATAAGCTTTGAACAAAGGAAATTCATCCTAAAATGCTACTGGAAGTTTGAAACGCATTGATGTACAAACATCGCCTTTTTGGGGGATCCCGGTATCCCAAAAAATGTACACACACTTTAACAGCTGATAACTCACTTAATTTCCACTCCTTTTCAGGTTTAACTGATTTGAAATAATGGGTGAAGCCAAACTAAGTTTTGAACACAGAAAATTTATCCACTAGACTTTTTAATGGGGATACATAAAAGATAAAGTTTATGGTACAAAACCAGCAACAGCTGATGAATTGAGGGTGCACAATACTGAAAGAAATAATCTTGATGTTTGCAATTCCATTGCTTCACATTATTAGTAGTGCATGGACCGGAATGGTCATCAGTTAGAAAACAGGCATTGATAAAAAAAATTATTCATTTCCATACATCTTTTAAATTTTGAAAATAAACTGTATGTTAATAAACACTGACTTTATAATCAAAGTGTGTATATATTATTTTTGGGACACCCTATATTTAACATAATGAATCACATTACAATGCATCAATAGTTTCTAACTTGGCTCTCCACCCTCCATAAGATTTTATATATTATCATAGAGCTATCACATTCCTTTTAAAATATTTTTTATTGATTTCAGAGAGAAAGGGAGAGGAAGAAAGATAGAAACATTAATGATAAGGGAGAATCATTGACCAGCTGCCTCCTGCACAGCCCCTACTGGGGATTGAGCCCACAGCCCGGGCATGTGCCCTGACTGGGAATCCAACCATGACTTCCTAGTTGATACGTCCACGCTCAACCACTGAGCCAAACTGGCCAGGCTATCACATTCCCTTTAATGGCTATAAAAATATATGACACTACTCACTTAAAAAAAAATGCAGCATTAAGTGAAGGCTTACTTTGTTTGAGGCACTGTAGTAGAATCTGGGCATACAGCGGTGAACAAGAGACAAGGTCCATGCTCTCATGGACCTGGTAACAAGCAGGTAATTATAAATAGCATGAAATGCTCTCAAGGAAACAGTAAGTAAATGCATAGAGAATAAAAAGAGTTAAGTTACTTAGAATGGAAACTACTTACTATATATACTCACTTTCCTCCTCCCATCCTTCCTAAACCCATCATTTATTCAGAGTAGGATTCAAATGATCTTTACCAAAATTACACTGGTGAAGTTGAACACTTTCATAAGGCGTGTGCTCTGTTCGGTGCTAGTATTTTTTTTATTCCAAATATTAAGAAAATCAAGCCTTTGTCATATAACAAAAAAAGTTCCTCATTTTGTTGATGCATTTTGAATGTATAATTTTGCTGTGCAGCAAATGAAGAAAATTTTTTCTGAGATATATTTTATCAATCTTTTCCTTTATAGCATCTGAGTTTTTGTCATGCTTAGAAAAAATTCCCCAAATAGGAAAAAGAAGTTCTCGTCTTTTCCTCTAGTACTATTAGGTTTTTCTTTTCTTTTACTTCCAGCTTAGTGATCCATAAGAACAATATGGCAGTCTCTGTCAAAATTGCAACTGTATATCAATTCTACTGCTATAATCTGTAAAAATGCTCACACGTGTGCACAAAGATATATGTACAAGATTTTTATTGTAGCACTGTTTGCATTGGGAAAATGGAGGAAGTACCTAGATATCTATCAGCAGACAACTTTCAATACATTTTGATATAACCACATAAACGAAAATCCAAGTAGTTCATAAACAGAACTATATTTATGTATTTTCCTAGCGAAAAATGCTACCACATGTTAAGTAAATAATGCAAGCTATAGAAGAGTGTGTATTGTACAAATCTCATTTCTAAAAGTAGTTTTGGTATTGCCTATCACATCTTAGATGCTCAGTAACTATTTGTGAAATAAATTAATTATATATGAACAGAGGATATGTGAAATTGGAAATATAGCCTTTTTAAAAAATATATTTTATTGATTTTTTACAGAGAGGAAGGGAGAGGGATAGAGAGTTAGAAACATTCATGAGAGAGAAACATCGATCAGCTGCCTCCTGCGCATCCCCCACTGGGGATGTGCCCATAACCAAGGGACATGCCCTTGACCGGAATCAAACCTGGGACTCTTCAGTCCACAGGCCGATGCTCTAGCCACTGAGCCAAACTGGTCAGGGTGGAAATATAGCCTTTTTAAAAGAAAAGGAATATATTACTGGGAAGCAATATCATGGACCTTTCATATTTCTGTATCTGTACTATTTTAAATGTTAATAAAGAGTACTATTCCTATTTTTTAAATTTTTGATTAAGAAGAAATTCTGCCCAGGCTGGGTGTTTAGTTAGTTAGAACATCGTCCCATACACCAGAAGGTTGCAGGTTCAGTTCCTAGTCAGGGTACATACCTAGGTTTCAAGTTCCATTTGGGGCACTACGGGAAGCAACCAATCAATGTTTCTCTCTCACATCACTGTTTCTCTCTCTCAAATCAATAAAAACAAATGACACACGAGATCAGAAGGATATAATTGATATTATATAAAGCAGCAGAATACACACTCTTCTTAAATGTATATAGGTCATTCTCAAAGACAGACCATATGTTAGGACATAAAATAAGTCTTAAAAAATTAAAGAAGATTGAAATCATATGAAGAATCTTCTCAGATCACAATAGCATGAAACTGGAAATCAACTATGATAAAATAACTCAAAAACATTCAAACACATAGAGACTAAATAGCTTGCTATTAAACGAATCGATAAACAGTGAATGGAATACCAATGAAATCAAAGTAGAAATCAAAAATTTCCCAGAAACAAATGAATAAACACACAATTCAAAATCAATGGAACACAGAGAAAGTAGTCCTGAGAGGGAAGTTCACAGTATTACAGGTCTACCTTAAGAAACAAGAAGCCCTAACCGGTTTGGCTCAGTGGATAGAGTATTGGCTTGCAGACTGAAGGGTCCCAGGTTCGATTCCAGTCAAGGGCATTTACCGTGGTTGCAGGCCCATCCCCAGTGGGAGGTGTGCAGGAGGCAGCTGATTAACAAAAAAAAATAAAATCAATAAAAACATATCCTTGCCTGGCCGGTGTGGCTCAGTGATTGAACATTAACCTATGAATCAGGAGGTCAATGATTCTCTCTCATCACTGATGTTTCTATCTCTCTCCCTCTCCCTTCTTCTCTCTGAAATCAATAAAAACATCTATACTAATAAAAGGCTAATATGCTAATTAGACCGGTCAATCAGACATCTTCCAGTCGTCCTGCCTTCCTTCTGGACAAAGCCACGGTGGCAAAGGCCGAGGCCGAGGCAGTTTGGGGCAATCAGTCTGGCAGGGGAGGGCAGTTAGGGGCAAGCAGGCAGGCAGAGGGTTTAGGGGCGATCAGGCAGGTAGGCAGGTGAGCGGTTAGGAGCCAGCAGTCCCAGATTGCAGTCAGACATCCTCCAACAGGTCCTGGATTGGAGACGGTGCAGGCTGGGCTAAGGGACCCCCTCCCCATGCACAAATTTTGCGCACTGGGCCTCTAGTATTTAACACACACACACACACACACACACACACACACACACAAACATATACTTGGGTGAGGATTAAAAAATACTAAGTCCACTTACGACAGAGTAATTAAGAAAGCTCAATTTTTATCAATATTTCCAGAGCCACAAGGAATTTACCATGAGTTCTTAAAATTCTTTCTGTTGTTGTTTTTAATCTTCACCAGAGGATATTTTTTCCATTGCTTTTTCAGAAAGAGTGGAAGGGAGGGAGGGACATAGAGAGAGAAACAAAGATGTAAGAAAGACCCATTCACTGGTTGCCTATCAGCATGCACCCCGCCCCAGTCCAGGCATGAACTTGCAACCCAGGTACATGCCCTTGACTGGGAACCTGCAACTCTTTGGTATATAGGCCAACTCTCTAACCACTAAGCAACACTGGCAAGGGCAGTTCTTAAAGTTCTTTTACCTACATTCAAGGTTGCATTCCTGAGAACCATATGCCTTTTCAGTTTTTCCTTGTTCTCTAAGTTGCTGGTTCAAAATTCTCAATTGCCTAAAGGAAATAATGAAGAAATATGAATATGTTTACAAGAATCCAAAGCTCATTTAACAGTGTACATTTGACAGCCTATTAAAAATGATAACACAAACAGTGATATCCAAGAGGAGAGCAGAAGTCCATATTATCCCCAAAACAAAAGAAAACATACACACAAATAAACAAAACCACACTATTACCATTATTTGTAGGCCTGAGATTAAAAGGTTAACTTCTGATTTTTACCTGTTCACTTATTAAATGCTTTCATCTTTTCAGTGATTTCCATGTTTTCTCTCTTTTTTTTTCTTATCTCTTCCTCTTCTATCTTCTCTGTATTTTCACTACTATAGCAATGATCTAGTTTTTAACATATCTGTCATAACAATGTACTAGAATACCTCCAGGACTGACTGCTATCAGATATCTATCTGCTTAGTTTGTCACACACTGAAAAAATTGGGAAAGTAATCTATGCTTTTAATAATTTCTTTGTTGGATGGAGAAGTTAATGGCCTGTTTAAATAAAAAGAATGCTAATAAGCAGCAACTTTGCCCTACAAATGAACTTCACACTATGAATAGCTGCTTCACAAATATGAAGATACAGAGGGAACTACAAGTGTTTTACTTATAAGAAGTCAACATTAAAGGTCATCTCTAGTATATTTCCAGAATTACTTACCTGAAAATATTCTGCATTATTTATTTTTGTTACTGAATCACATTATTTACTTGTGTTAATTCCAGATAGATTAAAGAGCGAGACATAAAATATACAATAAACAAAACCAACTATATAAGTTTTAGGAAGAAAGCTATAAAATCTTAAAGTGGTGAAGGCATTCCTAAGTAAGACTCAAAATCTAGCAACCATAAATGGAAAGAATAAAAGATTTAACTATGTCAAAATTGGAAACTTAAAAAAATATTTTTATTGATTTCAGAGAGGAAAGGAGATGGAGAGAGAGAGAGAAACATCAATGATGAGAGATAATTATTGCTTGGCTGCCTCCTGCACACCGCCTACTGGGGATCAAGCCTGCAACCCAGGCATAGAAAGATCTCCAAGATACATTATGAAGTGAAAAATACCTTCCACATATATCACAAACAAGAGGTCCATACATTTAACAAGTTCCTGCCAATCAGTAAGAAAGGCAGTAAAAAGTGATCAAGGATAAGAATGGGTAATTCACATAAGTCTATTTCTACAGAAATGGTCTATAAGCATGTGAAAAATGCTCAGCCTCACTAATATAAAGAAATGCAGGTTTAAAACAGGAGATATTGCCCTGGCTGGTGTGGCTCAGTTGGTTTGAGTGTCGTCCAATGCACCAAAAGGTGGCCAGTTCAATTCCTGATCAGGGCACAAACCCAGATTGCGGGTGCGATCCCAGGTCGGGTGCATGCAGGAGGCAACCGATCAATGTTTCTTTCTCTCTCCCTTCTTCTAACATAAATAAAAACATATTAAAAAAACAACCACCACGAGATATTTTATGGTCACAAGATTGGCCAAAACAAAAGGAAATAACATTAATTGTTGGTGAGGGAAATGTGGTATAGGAAAATGAATTATCTCAATTGGTGGGAGTCTATTGGTATAATAGTCATTTTGGATGGCAACAAAATGTAAACTGTTTCATAACTTTTAGCAAAACAATTCTAAGTAAACTATCTAGTCTCAGAAATAGCTGTCCATGTGCAAAACTTCTACAATCCTGTAAATACATATAAGGATGTTCACAACAGCAATATTTAATACTGAGAGGTTGGAAACTAAAAATGGTACATAAATTATTGTATATTCATACTAATACTCTCAGACACATATTTTTTTTTAAAAAAGACATTTATATGTACTGACGTGGATAGATACATCATGAAGTGAAAAATAGCAAGCTATAGAACAACATCATAATATAACTCAATTTTTAAAAAACAGAATACTGCTTTTCTGAAGTTTCCCCTTGACAACAGAGAGCAGATCTAGAAAAGGCAGCAGACTGGTCCTCCATAACTCCAAATGGAACACTTCTTTTGGTATTTTCCAACAAACAGTAGGTGTCAAGGTCCTCTTACACACCAAGTAGGTGATAGAAGCTTTGCTTGACAATTTTTTTGTATGTCCCTGGTCAGATTCTTTTGCCAACATAGCCAATCTCAACTTATCACTCATTATAAACCTCACATTCCTACCTTCCTTTCAACAGGATACTTTCTTATTTTCACTAAAAATAACAAGGTTTGGGGACAAACTCTGTTATCCCTCTGTCCCAGGGTGTACAAGTTTACCCATATATATACTAATCCTAACTTTGTTTCTAGTCTTAGAGTAAGGGGGCCTCACCAATTCCCTGAATCCCACCTCCTCCTATGCCCTAAGGACTCTGCTCTCACTCCATTCCTTTTATCTTTTCCATCTGCTGCTTCTCCCTCTTTATTGGCTCATGTGCCTGAGCTGAGGAGCATAATAAATGGCTCTCATAATTAAAAAAACATTCCCTCCAACCTAACTGTACCATTAGCTATTCTCCTTCCCTCTGATTCTCAGCTTTCAAGGTCAGGCTTTTAAAATATGATTGTTGTATTTTTAAAAATTATATATGATTTTTAAAAGTACATAACAAAGAGACTCTTTTAGAAAAGTGTAATTATGCATGCTTTAAAAAAATAGTATCTATACTAATAGCCTAGGTGGTCATCACACCCTCACGCATCACACACGACCATCACAAGATGGCTGTCACAAGATGGCCACGTGCACAGTGGTGGCGGGGCCCAGTGGAGGAGGTGGGTCACCGTAGGGGAGGGCAGGTGGGGACGATCAGGCTGGCAGGGGAGCAGTTAGGGGGTGATCAGGCTGGCAAGCAGAAGTTAGGGGCAATCAGGCAGGCAAGTGGTTAGGAGCCAGCGGTCCCGGATTGCGAGAGGGATGTCCGACTAAACTGGCAGTCAGACATCCCCCAAGGGGTCCCAGATTGCAGAAGGTAAAGGCCAGGATGAGGGACACCCCCCTCCCATGCATGAATTTCATGCACCCGGCCTCTAGTATATTATATTTAAGTACACTTTAACAAAGCAAAAGAACTGTAGACATTTAGGCAAATGTTTCTTTTTTAGTTCATTCTTTTTTTAATCCTCACCTGAGAATATGCTTATTGACTTTAGAGAGAGGGAAGGGAAAGAGAAACATCGATGTGAGAGAGAACATCAATTGGTTGCCTTCTGTATGTGTCCCAATTAGGAATCAAACCTGCAATCTAGGTATGTGCCCTGACCTGGAATCGAACCTGCAACCTTTCAGTGCACAGGAGGACACTCCAATCAACTGAGCCACACTGGCCAGGGCAGTTCATTCATTCTTTTTAAATATAGCTTTAATGAGATAAATAAGACCACACATATTTAAGGTATATAATTTGATTAGTTTTGACATATGATATGGTGAAGCCATCACCACAATTAAGGTATTTATCACCTAAAATGTCCTCATGCCCCATCTCATAACACCCCCTACCCAGATAATCACTGATTTATAGATCAGTTTGCATTTTCTAGAATCTTATATTATACATATACACAATATACGATTGTATGGAATCATACAATATGTACTTTTAGCCCTGCTATTTCCACTCAGCACAATTATATCGAGATTCATCCGTGCTGTTGCATGAACCAATAGTTTCTTTCTTTTTATTGCTGAGTGGTATTCTATTGTATGATATCTACATTTGTAGTGTTTTCTATGAACATTCAAAACAAATCCATATGCTTTCACTTCTGAGTAAAAACCTAGGAGGAAATGACTGGATCATATGGTATCTTTAATTTCTAAGAAAAGCTGAAAAACTTTTCCAAAGTCATTATACCATTTTTCATTCCCACCAGTAAATTATGAAAGTTTCAGTTCCTCCACATCCCCACTAACACTTGGTATGGTCTTTTTTTTTTTTTTTTGCACACACATGGTCTGGGAGCACACATACCCTGAGCAGGCAGTCCACTCAGCTTTTTACTCCAGACACGTGACCTGTCCCTCACTCTTGATTGGAGCTTAGGCTCAGTCTTTCACGATTGGCTAACTTAAAGGAAGGGGTTGACCATTGCTGTTTCAAAATGGCAGCTCCCAGGGGAACTAAAAGTCACGAGGACCAAAATGATGGCTGCCAGTTATTTTAAATTTTAGCTATTCTACTGGGTATGCAGTGGTGTCTCATGGTGCACATCTTTTATCCAATTTATTCCTAATTGATTATATTTTTTATGCTACTATCAATTGTAATGATTTAAACTCGCTTTTCAAATTGTTCACTGCTAATTCATACAAATATAACTGGCTTTTGTATACTGATCTCATACCCTACAACTTTGCTAAGTTCATTTTTTTTTTTATTCTAGTAGCTTTTTTGTAGATTCTGTAGGATTTTCTACAAACACTATCATGTCATCTGTAAATAGGGCAGTTTTACTTCCTTTTTTGCAATGTGGCTAGCTCAGGGGTGGGCAAACTTTTTGACTCGAGGGCCACAATGGGTTCTTAAACTGGACCGGAGGGCCAGAACAAAAGCATGGATGGGGTGTTTGTGTGAACTAATACATGTTAACACTGCTGCTGGTGAAGGAGCGGAGGGGAGAGCAAGAGAACCCTCCGCTCTTTCAGCTCTGCGGGCCGGATAGAACAGCCGAACGGGCAGGATCCGGCCCGCGGGCCGTAGTTTGCCCACGGCTGGGCTAGCTCCTATTTCTTTTCTTGCCTTATTGCACTGGCTAGATTCTCTAGCACAATGCTGAATAGAATATCAATCACTATTTGCTGGATATTATTTAGACATTTTTCTAGTATAGAAAGAAAAAATAGCTATACAGAATTTTTAAATAATAGGCTATTATTACAAACACTATTTAAATATGACATATACTGAATTTAGGATTATGTGATTTTAATGGAAGGAAAAGTAATGAGTAAAACCAGAACTCACTAATGAACTTTAGGCAAATATTTCTCT